CATTTTTTGTTTAATTTTCCATTTTTGAATATTTTCTAAAATACCTTTCTTTTATTCTTAAAAAAAACTCAAAAATATTCTAAAAAAATTTAAGACTCTTCTGTGGCTGTGTGTTGTAGTTGGTCCCTGTTTGTGGCTGTGTTTGGTCCACATCAGGGCCATTTTTTGTTTAATTTTCCATTTCTGAAGATTTTCTAAAAATACCTTTCTTTTATTGTAAAAAAAATACAAAAAATATTCTAAAAAAGAAAAGACTCTTCTGCTGCTGTGTGCAGTTTTTGGTTAATTTTACATTTTTGAATAGAGGCACTCTTCTACTCCTGTATACGCTCTTTAGAGTAATTCCAAGACTGGTCATCAATCACAAACCTAAAATATACAGTATTTCGGTCGCCCGCTGAAATGGGCATCGTCTCTGGGGTGCCCGGAAAAGAGGCACTCCTCTACTCCTGTGTGTACGCTTCCCCCCCCCCCCCAACTCCCTTTCATACACCCTTTCCCCAGTCGTTTCCTGCCGGTCCCCTATCAGCCTATTGGGCATCGTCTCTGGGGTGCCCGGAAAAGAGACTGGAAAAGGGACTGGGAAAAAAAGGCGGAAGAAAACACTGCCGCCCTCTCTACATTTTAGTGGAAGCACTTCTTTTTATTGATGATTTTAATGGCGACTTTATGGCAAGTTTCTGTGCCCTTCCTCTTGGCACTCCTGTGCCCTCCCCCCCCAACTCCCTGTCATGCAGCCTTTGGCACTCCTGGCCATTTGGCCTCTTTGGCATTTTGGGAGGGTGCCCTGATGCGTACTAAACGCGGGAACATTGCCCTGATGCGATCGGACCCAGGTTATCTAGAGTAACCAAAGCGGCCGGGGAGCCCGGGTTGTTTTCGGACTGATAACGACCAAAGGAACCATAACAGATGCAAATCAACTGGGTTAAATAGCTTTTGTTTCACCAAAGAGAAATGCATCACATCACAACAGCTTCGGGAGGGAAGCACATGGAGCGGTGAGGGAGGAAGGGGACACCCGCATAACCAGGCAGATCATCCGATCAATGGCACTCCTGTACTCATGTACTTGTTCCTGAATAATGGGACCGGCCAGCTTTGACCACACTAATTTTTTCAAAGTAAACGCTTCGGTCCTCCACATTTTCATAGAAGCACTTTTTTTTATTGATGATTTTAATGGCGACTTTATGGCAAGTTTCTGTGCCCTTATCACCCGCATAACCAGGCAGATCATCCGAATCAACCCAGGCGATCAATGGCACGGGGGAGCGCCGAGAGGCAGGGGCTGGGACAGACTGGCGGAAGAGGTCTCTGCCACCCTCTCTACATTTTGGAGGAAGCACTTCTTTTTATTGATGATTTCAATGGCGACTTTATGGCAAGTTTCTGTGCCCTTCCTCCCCCCCCAACTCCAAACTACAAGGTATCATTAGCTAAATATTTATTTTATTCTTGATTAATGATTAATGATTGATTTTAATGGCGACTTTTAGTCAAGTTTATTTACGGTCACCCTCTTTTTTTCCCCGTCACCCCATCACGAATGGGGTTCAACGGGTTACCCGCACCTGTCGGCGTAGGGTAGACACACACTGTAGCGCGCGTGCAGCCCCGGACATCTAAGGGCATCACAGGAACCCCAGGACACTTTTTACTGATGATTTTAAAGGCGACTTTAATACTGGAGACCTCGGTACACTCCTTCTTTACCTTGGACGTCGTCCTCTGCCACCGAGCGCGCAGCTTCGGGAGGGACGCACATGATTAATGATTAATGATTAATGTTTTTTAAATTAAAATTAAAATTAAACTCTAGAATTACCACAAGGATGGAATTACATTTTCCCTTTCATACACCCTTTCCCTAGTCGTTTCCTGCCGGTCCCCTATCAGCCTATTGGGCATCGTCTCTGGGGTGCCCGGAAAAGAGGCACTCCTCTACTCCTGTGTGTACGCTTCCCCCCCCCCCAACTGCCTTTCATACACGCATCCCTTTGCAAATAAAATGCATAGAAATTAAAGAACTGGGTTCAAAGGCATCAGGGCCAGTTTTTGGTTAATTTTCCATTTCTGAATAAAAATAACGCCCTTGTCTACTTTACATGCATGACTTGATCTTTGAGACAAGCATATGCTATTATTCTGGGGTGCCCTCGCCCGCTCAAATGGAAATTTGACTTTGCCCCGGGACTGGGAAAAAAAGGCGGAAGAAAACACTGCCGCCCTCTCAACATTTTGGTGGAAGCACTTATTTTTATTGATTATTTTAATGGCGACTTTATGGCAAGTTTCTGTGTACGCCTCCCCCCCCAACTCCCTGTCATGCAGCCTTTGGCACTCCTGTGCCCCCCCCCCCCAACTCCCTGTCATGCAGCCTTTGGCACTCCTGTGCCCCCCCCCCCCCAACTCCCTGTCATGCAGCCTTTGGCACTCCTGTGCCCTCTCCCCCCAACTCATCACAACAGCTTCGGGAGGGTCACCAAAATACTGTATATTTCAGGTTTGTGATTGATGACCAGTCTTGGAATTACTCTAAAGATTTTCTATCATATTATCTACCAATCTATATGTCTTTAACATTAATATCTAGTCTACATTATTGTAAAAAACTCAGAATTTGTGCCAAGAGGTAACTTAAAACAGGGTCCTTTAAGAATGAAGTCCATGTTGCAGGGACTCACTCTCATGGCAGAATGAAAGGAAAAAGAAGTTTTCCCCCTCTTTTATTGATTATTTATGTGATCGTCTTAGAATCTCCGACTTTCGTTCTTGAGTAATGAAAATATGCATAACCTCAAAAAAATAAACAAATCCACAAAAAAACAAAAACCTCCGACTTTCGTTTCATTTGTTCATTTGAATAGTTGCAAAGACCCTTGTGTGCCTGTGTGTGCGTTTCTCCCTGTCCTGTGGCTGTGTTCGCTCCACAAGAGGGCAAGGTTTTTGTTAATTTTCCATTTTTAAATATTACTGAAAAATATTTCTCTTTTATTCTTCAAAATTAAAAAAAAACCTAAAAAAAGAAAAGACCCTTGTGTGCCTGTGTGTGCGTTTCTCCCTGTCCTGTGGCTGTGTTCGCTCCACAAGAGGGCAAGGTTTTTGTTAATTTTCCATTTTTAATATTACTGAAAAATATTTCTCTTTTATTCTTCAAAAAAATTAAAAAAAACCTAAAAAAAGAAAAGACCCTTGTGTGCCTGTGTGTGCGTTTCTCCCTGTCCTGTGGCTGTGTTCGCTCCACAAGACGGCAAGGTTTTTGTTAATTTTCCATTTTTAAATATTACTGAAAAATATTTCTCTTTTATTCTTCAAACAATTAAAAAAAAACCTAAAAAAAGAAAAGACCCTTGTGTGCCTGTGTGTGCGTTTCTCCCTGTCCTGTGGCTGTGTTCGCTCCACAAGAGGGCAAGGTTTTTGTTAATTTTCCATTTTTGAATATTACTGAAAAATATTTCTCTTTTATTCTTCAAAAAATCAAAAAATAACCTAAAAAAAGAGAAGACCCTTCTGTTGGTGTATGCTCTCATTTGCCCTGTCTCGTGGCTGTGTTTGGTCCACATCAGGGCCAGTTTTTGGTTAATTTTCCATTTCTGAATATTTTCTAAAAATACCTGCCTTTTATTCTTAAAAAAAATACAAAAAATATTCTAAAAAAAGAAAAGACTCTTCTGTTGGTGTTGCTCTCGACTGCCCTGTCTTTTGGCTGTGTTAGCTGTTCATCAGGGCCATTTTTGGGTTAATTTTCCATTTTTGAATACTTTCTAAAAATACCTGTCTTTTATTCTTAAAAAAAAGCAAAATATTCGCTTTAACGAATTGATTCGTTATTAATCTGAATAACGAATCGAATCGTAATTAATAACGGCGTCCCCGAAGCCGCTTTTGCGCATGCGCGATCGCGTCCGCCATTTTAACGAATCGATTTCGTTATTTCCATAACGAATCGACCCCCCTCCCCCCACGCGAATAACGAAGCTTCGGAAATGTTTTTGCGCATGCGCGGGGGTCCGCCATCTTTACAAAATGTTTTGTAAATATTTACGAAATTTCGTAAATACCGAAACTTTTTTTGGGAAAGTTTTGTAAATATTTTAAATATCGAAACAAAAAAACACCCCAATTACAAATCGATTTTAGAAACAAATTTTTTCTTGATCAAACAGGCCTAAAAAACCCTTCCAGTATTTTCTGTTGGTCTTGGGAGTTCCGTGTGCCAAGTTTGGTTCAATTCCACCGTTGATGGAGTTCAGAATGCTCTTTGATTGTAGGTGAACTATAAATCCCAGCAACTGGAACTCCCAAATAACAAAATCCTAAGTTTTTGAGTGATGGTCACTCCTTGTGTTGTGAGACTTTTGTTGCCAAATTTGGTGTGATTTCGGTCATTGGTTCTTTTGTTTTTGAGGTACTCGTTATGCACAGAGCATTTATATATATATATATATATATATATATAGATAGATAGATAGATAGATAGATAATAATATGATATTATAATTACATAATTAATATTACATGTAAGATTACATGTAATATATAATACTAATATTGTACCATGCTAATAGTATAAAATATTGTGTGTCTATATATATCTTGTAATCCGCTCTGAGTCCCCTTCAGGGTGAGAAGGGTGATATATATAATATTAATAATAATATTAATAATAATATATAATATAGTATATAATAATATGATATTATAATTATATATTTCATATTACATGTAACATCACATGTAATATATAATACTGATATTGTACTATGCTAATAGTATAATATATTGTATTTCTGTGTATCTTGTGAGCCGCTCTGAGTCCCCTTCGGGGTGAGAAGATCAATATATATAATACTGATAATAATATTATTATTATATATAATATAATATATAATAAAATGATATTATAATTATATATTTCATATTACATGTAATATTACATGTAATATATAATACTGATATTGTACCATGCTAATAGTATAAAATATTGTATATATAAGGGGACATGAGAGAAGCCTCCTCGCAGGATTGCAAGATATCCGGCGTCCCCTGGGCAACGTCTTCGCAGACGGCTGATTCTCTCAATCCAGAAGAAACCAGAGACGACTTGCAGCATGCAAGCAAGCAAGCAAAACAACCAACGGACCTTTTCAGGACCAACCATGACAATAATCTCTATCAACATCGAAGGCATGTCAGCCGCCAAAGAACAACTGCTCTATGAGCTGTGCCGAGATAAGAAATGTGACGTGCTGTGTGTCCAAGAAACACACAGGGATGAAAGACAGAAACGACCCAAAGTTCCAGGAATGGTCTTAGTAGCGGAAAGACCACATGCACAGTATGGAAGCGCCGTCTTTGTCAAACCAGGCCTCCAAGTCAGCAGTGCCCACAACACTGAAGAAAACAATATCGAGGTTCTAACAGTAGAGCTTAATAACATCACCATCACCTCTGTGTACAAGCCCCCAAATGAAGATTTCTGCTTCTCCTCCCCCGAGAACTTTGACAGGCACCAAAGGGCGGTAGTAATTGGTGACTTCAACAGCCATAGCCATGTATGGGGCTATGCCCAAGAGGACAGAAATGGAGAGGCTGTCCTCTCCTGGTCTGAACTGCACAAACTATCACTCATCCATGATAGCAAGCTCCCACCATCCTACAACAGCGGGAGATGGCACCGAGGTTATAACCCAGACCTCTTATTTGTGAGCGACAGCATCGTACAGCAATGCACCAAATCAGTGGGACCACCAATCCCAAACACACAGCACCGACCAATAATATGCCAACTGTTCCCAACTATAAGGCCTCAGGAAGTTCGATTTAAACGAAGATACAACTTCAGAAAGGCAGATTGGACTAAATTCTCAGACATGTTAGATGACATGATCACATCGGTCGCGCCAATCCCTGAGGAATACGAGCATTTTATTGAAATCGTGAAAACCTGCTCACGGGCCTCCATACCGAGAGGCTGCAGAACCAACTACCTTCAGGGCATTACTCCTGAAACAGCTGCCTTGTTGGAAAACTATTACAGGCTCCACAACGAAGACCCATTTAGTGAGCAAACCCTTCAGGCAGCACAGAGCATTGTGTCCTCCATCTCTGAAGCCAAGAAAGAACAGTGGATCAAGCTGATCACAGAGGTCGACATGGGCAGGAGCAGCCAGAAGGCGTGGAGGTTGCTAAGACGGCTGAGCAATGACCCCTCACAAACTAATACCCATGCCAACATAAAGGCAGATCAGATAGCACACCAACTCTTGAAGAATGGGAAACCCAACCTTGCCACCAAAGTAGGAAAGAAACCAATAGCCAGACAACCAGAGATTGAGAACAACAACCTTCATGAACCCTTTACATCTACTGAATTGGACATGGCTCTCAACAAATGTAAGAATGGCAAAGCAGCTGGCCTGGATGACCTACGGATGGAACAAATCAAGAACTTTGGTCCAAAAGCAAGGCGCTGGCTGCTGGAGCTGATGAACAACTGCACTGCATCCTGTCAGATCCCCAAAATCTGGAGGAAAGCAAGAGTCATCGCCATCTTGAAGCCAAGCAAAGACCGCAACGACCCAAAAAGCTACAGACCAATCTCCCTGTTGTGCCACCTCTACAAAGTTCTGGAGAGACTTATTTTGCATAGAATTATGGAAAAACTAGACCCATGTCTGATCCCACAGCAAGCTGGCTTCAGAAAAGGCAAAAGCTGCACATCGCAAGTGTTGAACCTCACTCAGCACATAGAAGATGGTTTTGAAAGGCAGCAGATCACAGGAGCTGTCTTCATAGACCTGTCAGCAGCCTACGATACTGTGAACCACTGCCTCCTCCTGAGGAAAATGTATAATATCACAAAGGACTACCACCTCACCCGCCTCATAGGAAACCTGCTACAAAACAGTGTGCTTGCTCCATCCATGTTCAACATCTATACAAATGACCAGCCACTGCCAGGAGGGACAGAGAGCTTCATCTATGCTGATGATCGTGCCATTACTGCTCAAGCAGGGAGCTTTGAGATGGTAGAACAGAAGCTCTCCGAAGCTCTAGGTGCTCTTACTGCCTATTACAGGGAAAACCAGCTGATCCCCAACCCATCTAAAACACAGACATGTGCCTTTCACCTTAAGAACAGACAAGCATCCCGAGCTCTGAGGATTACCTGGGAAGGAATCCCACTGGAGCATTGCAACACACCCAAATACCTGGGAGTCACTTTGGACCGTGCTCTGACCTACAAGAAGCACTGCCTGAACATCAAACAAAAAGTGAGCGCTAGAAACAACATCATACGAAAGCTGACTGGCACAACCTGGGGATCACAACCAGACACAGTGAAGACATCTGCCCTTGCGCTATGCTACGCTGCTGCTGAGTATGCATGCCCAGTGTGGAACACATCTCACCACACTAAAACAGTGGATGTGGCTCTTAATGAGACATGCCGCATTATCACAGGGTGTCTGCGCCCCACACCACTGGAGAAATTACACTGTCTAGTCGGTATTGCACCACCTGACATCCGCCGGGAAGTAGCAGCCAATAGTGAAAGGACCAAGGCAGAGTCATCTCCAGCTCATCCCCTGTTTGGGTATCAGCCAGCACGTCAACAAGTTAAATCAAGACATAGTTTTCTTAGATCTACAGAGACACTCGCTGGAACACCCCAGCAAGCGAGAGTCCAAAAGTGGCAGGCCCAAACCTAGCTCCATCCCTACACGCTTCCATTCTCCCATTCATTCCCACACATCATATTAAATTTACATTTATCAAATCTACACATTGAATTTCTTATTACAGTGGTCTAACCAAAGCGGAATAGAGGGGTAGCATTACTTCCTTAGATCTAGACACTAGGCTCCTCTTGATGCAGGCCAAAATCCCATTGGCTTTTTTTGCCGCCACATCACATTCCTGGCTCATGTTTAACTTGTTGTCCACGAGGACTCCAAGATCTTTTTCGCACGTACTGCTCTCGAGCCAGGCATTGTCCCCCATTCTGTATCTTTGCATTTCATTTTTTCTGCCAAAGTGGAGTATCTTGCATTTGTCACTGTTGAACTTCATTTTGTTAGTTTTGCCCAATCATCTCTCTAATCTGTCAAGATCCCTTTGAGTCCTGCTCCTGTCCTCTGGAGTCTTGGCTCTCCCTCCCAATTTGGTGTCGTCTGCAAACGTGATGATCCTGCCTTCTAGCCCTTCATCTAAGTCATTAATAAAGATGTTGAACAGGACCAGGCCCAGGACAGAACCCTGCTTGTGGCACTCCGCTCGTCACTTCTTTCCAGGATGAAGAGGAAGCATTAGTGAGCACTCTCTGCCCCTGCCTTGCCTCCTCCTCCTCCTCCTCCTTCAGCTCCCTTATCTGACCAGAAGAGACTCGGATCCTTTGGAAGAGCCAGAGAGCCCTGCCCTGCCTCTTGACTTCTGGCCTTCATTTCCCCTCCTGCCTCTCTGGCCTTCACAGGCTGGAATTCGTTTGGAATAGCCAGAGAGTTATAGAACCCTGGAGTTGGAGGAGATCTCGTGGGCCATCAATAAGTCCAATCTCTTTTACCCAAGAAGCAGGAAATCGCCTTCAAAGCACCCCTGACAGATGGCCAGTCAGCCCTTGCTTCAAAGCCTCCAAAGAAGGAGCCTCCACCACACTCTGGGCAGAGAGTTCCACTGCTGAAGGGCTCTCCCTCACAGCCAGAAAGTTCTTCCTCAGGTTCAGGTGGAATCTCCTTCCTTTCCTGTAGTTTGAAGCCATTTCTCCATTGTGTCCTAGTCTCCAGGGCAGCAGAAAGGAAGCTTGCTCCCTCCTCCCTATGACATATTCCCCACACGTATTTATACACGGCTATCATGTCTCCTCTCAGCCTTCTCTTCTTCAGGCTAAACATGTCCAACTCTTTAAGCCACTCCTCATAGGGCTTGTTCTCCAGACTCTTGGTCATTTTAGTCACCCTCCCGCTTTCTCTCTTAAAAGAAGACCGAAACCGCTCACAATCAAAGCAACACAGGATATCATTGAAAACCAAAAAACACACACATAAAAATTAAGCAGTGATGCTATTCAAAGTTGAAACCAGTGAGAAGCCTCTTCTGAGCCATGGCAGCCAAAGGAAGCCAGCCCAGCCAGTCCTCTTCTTGGCAATTACAGAAGCATTTCTCTATTTATTTTGGGCATTGATATCCCGTCCCACCTCGACCTCCGCAGAGGGACTCGGGGCAGCCGACAACAAAAGCATAAATATACATTTTAGATATCAACAGTATAAAACATTATAAAAACATCATAAAGTGTTTCTCATAAAGTAATGCAAGTGTTTGTTTATTATTGACGATATTTCTGTCCCGCCTTTCTCATGTCCGAAGGTGACTCCAGGCGGCTGTGGCGGAAGCCCCTGCTTGACGCTTTGAGTGGGGCTCAGTCTCAGCTCCACTGGCAGGGGACCCTCAAGGAAACTCCCCCAAATGGGCTCCCGGGGCCAAAGAGGGGCCCGTAGTGCGTGCAGTGAACGCAATGGCCTCCCTCCTCCCCCTTGAGCCATACCACAAACATCATCTTTGGCACTGGAGGTCCACCCTTCCATCTCCTCTAGACCCCTTCTCTCGTGTCCTGCTGCTGGGCTGAGTGCCTTCCACCCTGCGCTTCTGCATCCCTATCTCCATTTTTGTGGTCTTGGTGTAGAAGTTTGCTTTGTTTTTTTCTTTCCTTTTGTTCTGCCTGAGGTCAGGAAAAAAATTGCTTCAGTTGGAAGAAATGAAGTATTTTTCTCACAAGACTGACCACTTGGGATGGTCTGCCCGTACAGGTGGTCACTCAGGTTCTGAGTTGGGATGTGAGGAAGCAGGATCTAGGCAGGGAACGCTTTGCAACCTGAGCCGTTTCTGTGCTGACCGTATTGTTAGAAGTCTTCCTTTACAAAGATTGGGTTGCAATATTAACACAATCTCCTGCAGAGAATCGTGGGCCACTCTCCCCTCTTTGCAGGGCTTGCTCTTTGTTGGGCAAGTGTTAAGGTACTTCTCAGCAGGCCAAGGCTCTTCTCCATAGGACCGCTCTTTCTCCCTTCTTCTCCGGCATTGGCTATAGCACGGAGCTATTGTTCTTATTGTTCAATGAGATATTTCTGTGCTCTGTTCCTGATAAGATTTTCCTTTCGTTTCTCTGGCAGGTAACCTCTGAAGGAACCTTGAGAAGAATACTTCCCTTTGTCTTAGGACAGGAATGAAATTGCCCAGCACTCACAAGAACAAGAAATAAGTTGGAGAAATTATATTTCAAGCTCCATAGCTGTGTATTCAAGGAGAAAAGGGAGGATTGTGCTGTGGAAAGTGGGGCTTGGTACTTTATTTATTCAAATGGACTAGAGCAATACAAGAACTGAGAAGAGGAAATCAGGAGAACACATCTGTGACCTTCTGGCATAATATTTGAATAATAAATTTAAAAGAATGGAAAATCTCAATTCCTTGTCAAAGTCACACACAGGGGAGAAGGAACATAACTGTATGGACTGTGGGAAATGTTTCACTGCAAGAAGTTCTCTTACTACACATCAACGAACTCACACAGGAGAGAAGCCGTACAAATGTGTGGAATGTGGAAAGAGCTTCAGTCAGAACGGAAACTTGTGTTCCCATCAAAGGACCCACACAGGGGAGAAGCCACATAAATGCATGGAATGTGGAAAGAGCTTCAGTGAGAGTGGACTGCATATCCATCAAAGAACCCACACAGGGGAGAAGCCACATAAATGCATGGAATGTGGAAAGAGCTTCAGTCAGAGTGGACATCTGCGTATCCATCAAAGAACCCACACAGGGGAGAAGCCACATCAATGCATGGAATGTGGAAAGAGCTTCAGTGGAGTGGAAATCTGCGTACCCATCAAAGAACCCACACAGGGGAGAAGCCACATAAATGCATGGAATGTGGAAAGAGTTTCAGTCGGAGTGACAGTTTGGATATCCATCATAGAACCCACACAGGGGAGAAGCCACATAAATGCATGAAATGTGGAAAGAGCTTCAGTCGGAGTGGACATCTGAGTATCCATCAAAGAACCCACACAGGGGAGAAACCACATAAATGCATGGAATGTGGAAATAGCTTCAGTCAGAGTGCAAATCTGCGTACCCATCAAAGGATCCACACAGGGGAGAAGCCACATAAATGCATGGAATGTGGAAAGAGCTTCAGTCGGAGTGGAAATCTGCGTATCCATCAAAGAACCCACACAGGGGAGAAGCCACATAAATGCATGGAATGTGGAAAGAGCTTCAGTCAGAGTGGAAATCTGCGTATCCATCAAAGAACCCACACAGGGGAGAAGCCACATAAATGCATGGAATGTGGAAAGAGCTTCAGTCAGAGTGGATATCTGCGTATCCATCAAAGGACCCACACAGGGGAGAAGCCACATAAATGCATGGAATGTGGAAAGAGCTTCAGTCGGAGTGGGACTCTGCGTATCCATCAAAGAACCCACACAGGGGAGAAGCCACATAAATGCATGGAATGTGGAAAGAGCTTCAGTCGGAGTGACAATCTGCATGTCCATCAAAGAACCCACACAAGGGAGAAGCCACATCAATGCATGGAATGTGGAAAGAGCTTCAGTGAAAGTGGGACTCTGTGTACCCATCAAAGAACCCACACAGAGGAGAAGCCACATACATGCATGGAATGTGGAAAGAGCTTCAGTCGGAGTGGAAATCTGCGTACCCATCAAAGAACCCACACAGGGGAGAAGCCACATAAATGCATGGAATGTGGAAAGAGTTTCAGTCGGGGTGACAGTTTGGATATCCATCATAGAACCCACACAGGAGAGAAGCCACATAAATGCCTGGAATGTGGAAAGAGCTTCTGTCGGAGTGGAAATCTGCGTATCCATCAAAGAACCCACACAGGAGAGAAGCCACATAAATGCATGGAATGTGGAAAGAGCTTCAGTCAGAGTGGATATCTGCGTATCCATCAAAGGACCCACACAGGGGAGAAGCCACATAAATGCATGGAATGTGGAAAGAGCTTCAGTCGGAGTGGGACTCTGCGTATCCATCAAAGAACCCACACAGGGGAGAAGCCACATAGTGTGTATACTTGAGTATAAGCCGACCAAATATAAGAGGGAAAAATTGGGAAAACTTATTGAGTTGAGTATAGGCCGAGGGTGGGAAATGCAGCAGCTATTGGTAAATTTCAAGAATAAAAATAAAAATAGATATCAATAAAATTACATTAATTGAGGCATCTATAGGTTAAATGTTTCTCAATAATTGCATAAATCTGTAATTTAAGATAAGACTGTCCAACTCTGATTAAATCATTATTCTAACCTTCTTCATTGTAAATGTGCTTATGTATCCTTCCAATAATAAATAGGGTAAAATAATAAATGCAATGATAGCTTGAAATAATAAGTGTAATAATAACAATGATAGCATAAAATAATGTAATAATTATAAATAGAAACAATAATATTAACAGAATAAAATAATAAATGTAGTAATAGTGATAGAGTAAAATAATAAATGTAATAATAATAGAATAGAATTATAAACAACAACAAATTTATTAATTATTTATTTTATTGCAGTTACTTTTACCCCGCCCTTCTCAACCCCCTGGGGGGACTCAGGGCGGCTTACAAAAAAGGCACAATTTGATGCCTGCAAAGGTACAAATATATAAAAACAACAATCAACATTTATCACAAATTAACATTAACAAACCATAATCAATTAAAAACTAATCATACAACTCCGCGCACATTATCCAGTGTTCCTTAATTCCATTCCGTATATCAGTTCCATTCCATTGCCACGTCCTTTTTCATCTGCCTGGTGGTCCGAAAGCCTGATCCCAAATCCACGTCTTCAACTTTTTCCTAAATGAAAGGAGGGATGATGCTGCTTCCCCTGGGAGTGAGTTCCGTAAGTCGGGGGCCACCACCGAGAAGGCCCTGCTCCTCGTCCCTGCCAATCTCACTTGTGATAGAGGCCGGGTCGTGAGCAGGGCCTCCCCAGAAGATCTCAGATTCCGAGGTGGGACGTAGCGGGAGATCCGTTCAGACAGATACACTGGGCCGGAACCGTATAGGGTTTTGTAGCTTAAGACCAGCACGTTGAATTGTGCTCGGAATTGAATCGGCAGCCAGTGGAGCTGACATAACAGGGGGGTGGTGTGCTCCCTGTATGATGCTCCTGTTAGTACTCCGGCTGCCTCCCGCTGGACTAGTTGGAGTTTCCGAACAGTCTTCAAAGGCAGCCCCACGTAGAGTGCGTTGCAGTAATCCAGTTGGGATGTAACAAGAGCGTGGACCACCGTGGCCAGATCAGACTTCCCAAGGTATGGGCGCAGCTGGCGCACAAGTTTTAATTGTGCGAAGGCTCTCCCGGCCACCGCCGAGACCTGGGGTTCCAGGCTCAGCGATGAGTCCAGGATCACTCCCAAGCTGCGAACCTGCGTCTTCAGGGGGAGTGTAACCCCGTCTAACACAGGCTGTAACCCTATGCCCTGTTCGGCCTTACGACTGACCAGTAGGACCTCTGTCTTGTCTGGATTCAATTTCAATTTGTTAGCTCTCATCCAGTCCGACACAGCAGCCAAGCACCGGTTCAAGGTCTGGACAGCCTCCTTGGTGACTGCTGAATCAAATCTCGTTTGTACCAGTGTATTTCAGATAGAAGAATTTTTCGGGACAAGTTGATGAAAAGTCTGTGTGTATATGGAAATAAAAAGTGGGAAAGAATGACTTGGGTGAGAAGAAGGACTGAAACATACTGGGTGTTTACAACGGAGGTTTTGGACACACATTGAGGATAGGATGTTTGAAAAAGTTCGTTGTCTGCTTCGGAGTGTGTGACGTAGGGTGGAAAGCGGGTCTCTTGGAAAGGTGGAGAATCCGTGTGTACATGTATGTTTTTGGTGAATGTGTGTGTGAAACATAGACGTTCTAGCCTTGCCGAGAGTCGTGAGATAACTAATAACTTTTTCTCGCTGGACTGCGTATCGTGCCACTTCCCACATAATTAGTGAGAATGACACGTGTTAGGCATATCAGGCTCCTTAGAAGGCGGAAGCAGGGGTGGTGCGTATCAGGGTAGGATGTAATAGGGAGAGCGATGCATATAGTGTGTCATGCATAGGCGCTCTGGTGGATTATTTTTTAGGGGTGTACTCTGCCAGTTACTGAGGTGCGTCTTCTTACAGCATGGGATTGATAGTGAAAACTGCAGACCCGTGAAGTACAGTAGTGCTTGATTGGAATGTGGGGCGTGAGTAATACAGTATATACATACGTGTCATGTTCACAGGTGCTTAGACAGGATTCTGTGTGGCGTCACGTTCCGTCTCGGTTAATAGAAGTAGTGTATGATTAAACCTCAGCGTCTAAGTGTAGGAGTAGACATCTATACGACGTGATGATGGGATGTGAGACAATACTAAAGGGATACCGGACACTGTAATGATGTGTGGCAGAGAGGCGGATTG